GCCGAAGGAAAACAGCAGCCACAGCCCGAGCAGCGTGGCCGGCAAGATCCTGAAACGCACTCGCCGTGGGCCAAACCTCACCTGCACTCGACAGGCACTGCTTTTATTCTGCGAGACGAAGTTAACCAAGGATCTCCCACCGTCAGCACAGTGCTGAAAGACCCTACCAGGGTCATCTGCTGATTATTCAGGAGAAAAAAAAAAGAGGAACAGCTGCAGACAGCAGCACATTCTTAGGAAACACTGTCAACGTTAAGGACATAGACAGTTTACAGAAACCAGGAAGCCATGGTTTGCTTTGGCATTAGTCTCAAAAGACACGAATGTTCAATGACACGGCTGACAGCTTGTTCCATACTCCCACAACCCTTTGTCCCTCTGCTTCTCAGTCTCGAATGCACTTCCCTGCAGAGTCCACCTGTGTCCTGGAGGTCAGACTTCCCTGTTGATTCCAGCAATCGCCTTTGAAGTCCAAAACTCTCAATAGAAAGGGAACAACAGTTTTCCTTACACCTCACCCAAAACATAACTCCCGAGAGCTGATTACACAGCTCCAGCTCCACCGTCCACTGCAACCAACAGCACCTGGAAACTGGACTTCAATCCCACTCTGGTTTCTTGGAACACAATGAATCCCTACTCACTCCTTTATAACACGTCCACTTCTGCGTCGAGTTCTGCACAAAGAGCGAAAAGCCCCTTGTGCATAAAGAATCAGTAAAACAAGGACACAGGTAGCAGAGAGGCCCTTTCGCTGTTCTCTGATCGCACAGGTCCAGGGTGTCCAACATCTGGCATGCAAGTGAGGGCCTTCTGGTTCCATCTGAAAACCAAGTACGCTGGGCTCATCACCACGTGGGGCGCTGTACGTGTCGGAGGAGGGGCCTTTCCTAACCCACGCCTTTACCCTGATCCAAATGAAAGATGCTTCTAGTTTCACGTACCCCGTTTCAGTAAGACTGGAGCCCCAGGGAGGTTGCCCACCGTGCTGGCACCCCTGTGAAAGCATGCTGGCTTATTTCCCCAGGCCACACCCAGACAGCATCCCTCCACACGAGACACTGGCGCACGGTGCCGCCTCACGGCTGTGCCTCACAGAGTACAAGATGGAGCCACACAAGGAATGCGGGGGGAACATTATGAAATTAAAGCCCTGATTAAAAAAAACAGCGAGACAGACGGAGACATTACTTCTCATCAACACACACATTTCACAGAGCAGCTCAGCAGAAAGAGATGAGCTCCGATGCAGCGAGAGCAAAAAGGGAAAACTGAATAGATAAGGCGGGTTTTCTACCGAGGGCTTGGTACAGTCGTTTTCCGACTTTCCTCTCTGAATTTCTTGAGCAAAATAAACCCCTCGCTAAAAAGAAATAAACTTGAATTAAAATCTCCACCTTGACACTTCTGAGAGATGGGCGTTTCCATGGTTACCATCATGTGTGTTGCGTCATTTGTTCCGTCGTCGACACGGTAACACAGTTTTCACGAGTGCCTCCTGGCATGTTTTGATCACTCTGAGCACTCAGAGCATCACGCTGGCACGATACATAAAATAAAATGAGCAGAAACGCAAGGCATCTTTCTCTCAGGGGCTGTCCTGTTCGTTCGTCATCACAAACCCAGTGCTTCTACACGTGGTCAGCTGACTTTTTCGTTTCCTTCTTCTTGTGGCGGGATTGCACACACAGGCCCGAGCTCAACAAGACGAGCAAGCTTGACGCAGAACTAACGCGGCCATGGCAAAACACAAGCCAAGAAACAGGAGAACATCAACCCGCACCTGCAGCAGTTACAGACGTACACAGACCGCTTGTAGAAACTCGGCGCAGGCGGTGCCTGCAACACAGTAATTGTGCCAACAGAGGGCAGTCGCTTAACTTCACAGCAAGCAAACAATGAGCAAGGGGACCCCTCCCAAAAGAGAAAAACTACCAACGGGGATCCTCTCCCTCCCGAAACCATGTGCCGGTCACTGGATGCTCCACCCCAAGTTACAAAGACAGCCAGTAGCTCCTTAGGTAAAAGCTCCTAGGGCACTGATATGACACAGACGTCTGTATTCCAGCGTCTTGGTGTGCTGAATCTTGGAAGGTCTTTATCCACGTAATGCACCATCTTAAAACAGCAAGGCTCCTTGTGAAGTCCTACAGGTTTTTTTCACCAAGCTAGCTTTGTACAAAGCCATTTTTACAAAACTAGATATTTATGAGAAGGGCAGCTCAGAGGAGTATTAAAACTCAAGGAATCCATGACCCTATCAAAACCTCTCCCTGACAAACAGGCCCCGTTTTGGATCTGTTTTTCTGAGCACAGCACTCACTCTGACCCTCCTAAAAAACACTTTGGCTTCTCGTGAACGGTTGGGTACAGCCTCATGTGAAAGGCAGGGATTTTGAGCACTTTGGTTCGAGTCCTGAGATCTGTGGCTCCCCAGAGTGCTGAAAACTTGCTATGTGGATGTAAGGTGTTTAGCGCCAGCCTCACCAAGTCCAGCTATACTGTAGGTGCTTTTCAGTCTGTAGGGATTCTCCATGCTTTTCCCGTGATCAAAGGGATTTTTGCTGGGTGCTGTGCTGCCTCCCATGTCTCGGAGAGGGACCTGCAAGTCAGCTTTGCCACCTGCCCTCTTACAGGATTCGTTCCTAGCTTCCCAGGAGGAGGGACTTTGGGGATACCCAGGTCACCCTATCCAGACTGTGGAGACTCTGGGGCCTCAGTGCCCGAAGCTCGGATTCAAGTGTGGGTAGCTAAGAGTCTGCCCCATGTTTCCTCTGAAATACACGCTCATTGTATACCGTATTCCTCTTTGTTCTACAATGGCGCTCACCGTGAGAAGGCATGCTATAAGACCAGTACAGACTGATCTCACTGCAGCTCTTTCCAGTGGTTTTCACTGCTGTGCTAATCGGGCCAGGAGCCTTCGGGGCACTCTCAGGTGCAGCCCGACGTGAGAAAGGTGTCCCTGCACAAAAACAGCACGCTGAGTGGTCAATTCACTCGGCGGTCCCATCAGGGCTCCCCAGAAAACTGATGTGCGTTCCGGGCCAAAGAGAAAGCTTATGTTCCCTGAACCTTAGCTGCAAATGAAATCATTTCCAGCAGGATTGGCCCTGGTTGATCATCCACATGGCTGCTCTCTCCTCGCCTCTCTCTCTGGCTGAATAAAGCCTCTTGTGTAAGCAAGGATATTTATTCTGCTGCAATCAGCTGGCCTAGATTTTTTTTTTTGCATCCATGCTTTCTGTTTCTGTCGCAGATCGTTTGGTTTGAGAGCAGTGATTACAGCACAGCAGCGCGCTAGGCTGTTACAGAACGGCTCCATGTCGTACAGCACCAGCCAGTTTACAGGACCATGTTCGGCACAGCCGGCCGAGAATGAAAGATTTTGGCTTGCGCGGGGCAGGCTGGAAGAGCTGTAAGCCACACTGCAAGGCTTGTGCCCGAACCCGGCCCTCAAACTCTCCGGCAGACTTGGGGAAGAAACAGTCCAATACGGATGGCTTTCCTCGAAACGCCCCTGGGGCCTCACGGGGTGTCCCCTGAGCTGGGGGAGTCCCTGATGCCGAGACAGGGAAGCGGGTGGGTTTACGAAACCCCCCTCTCAGCTCAGCTCAGCACACCGAGCCCCATGTGCTTTCCCAGCAGCTTATTGATCCAAGGACCTGGTCGGGCCTTCCCACCACCCACAGGGCAGGAGTCCTGAGCCGACTGAGGAAGGGCCCCTCCATCCCATTCCTCCTGCTGTGCCACTGCTGAATCCCACCCCTGAGCTCGTGACAGCGAAGACCGGGCAGCTGACGGTCCGCAACAAGCTCTGTCCGTGTAGGAAGTACAGCAGGAGCCTGGACACTCGCACACCCACCTCTCCCCATGCCATTTCCCTTCCACAAAGTCACGTGTCTGCAGCCTCGTGTCAGGGCCGTAATGACAGGAGTGGGCTTTTTCCACCCTTTCAGCCTAACTGCTTCACCCATGACTGATCTCCGTCCTGTTTAAGACAACCGTGCGAACGCTCTCTTCTCACCACAGAGATTTTCAGCACGTTACATTTTGCCTGTATTATATCAGAAGCAGGTGTGCTTGGGTTTAAACTGCTCACATAAGCGGTTTAAGTAATTACAATAGCGCAATAAGCCCGTGCGGCAGAGAAGATCTTTACAGTTTATTTACGCTGCTCCCAGCCTGTGGGAGGGGCTGGAATAAAACACACGCATTTTTATTGTTGTTGCGCTCGGCAGCCGGGCCGGCTGTCGCGCGGGGCGCACAAACGCCCAGTAAAAACGCGAATCCGGCACCTCTGCAGCCCCACAGACATGCCACCCAGCGGTGCACCCCTGCCTCGCCGAGCCCCGCGCCAGCCCCGCGCCAGGCCTGCTGCACGCTGCTCGCGACACAAACCAACCCGCCCGCCCGCCCGGCGGTGCTGCTCACGACCGAACCACGTCAGAGACAGGCGCTACATTGGCGCCGAGAGGTAGCAGCCCTGCCCTGGCATCTTGCTAGCCGGGATTCACGATGATGCATGCGGATGCGTACAGGCGCAGACGAGACGATCGTGCATAATGCGCACCGCAAACTCTAATGTGCGCAGAACAACATCCATACGGCGCTACAAGCCTTTCCGCGCTTCACAGCGGCTCTGTGCTCTCATCTGACGTGCACACGTGCTGCTGATAAATACCGGGTTTAAAAGGGCAGTTTCGCCATACTCCTTTAAGCCGCACCGGTACGCAGACTATATACAGGACAGTACGTGGTGCATGTGTCCAGATCTGTGGATGTATAAGGAGATACTACCCGCAGAGCTCACAGCGAGAGCGCAGTTAGCTAGTGTTATTAAAGCCTGTCATGTTATTCACAAAGCGCCGTCACAGCCCCCCCACAGCTGAAACAGGGGACCGCGCTAGCACAATTCACCGGCAACCCTCTCTTATGCCAATTCTGACAATTAGCGTGATATTCATTTCAGTGGTGGGGGGGGGGGTCGTTTAACTTACGTGGTCGGAATTCCTTTCGTTCCCAGATGGTAGTGCTGAGCGAGAAGACATTTTTTTTTTCCCTGAGTTTCCCCTGCTTGACGCGGCTCTGTATACGAACGCTACGTATTTACAAAACTAAAACTGTCTTTAAAATAACAGTCGACATCCCAGTGTCCGTGAGCGCTGCGCCGCCCCTCCTGCGGCCTGGATCCCCTCGGAGGCGCCGGTACCCTCAGACCCGCCGCATTTCCGCGGCTCCGTCACACAGCCGCCGGCCGAAGCGCTACCAGTCCCGGTACCGACGCGCAGAGCCAGAGAGGGGAAAACCCGACAGACGAGCTAGATTCGGTCCATGTTGGGCCGCCGGAGTCCGCGGTTCAGGAAGGGAGCGTCAGGCGTCTGGTTCATTCGGCTTCATAGACGAAGAGAATTCATTTCGGCTCCCTTTCATTGTAATACAGGGGAGGGTGAAAAAAACAACACTTTCTTCTCCGGTTCAATTAAAGCTCTCGCATACTTGAAATAGGAAAAGCAATGTGTGAAATAACCGAAAAGGAGGAAAACGAGAGAACTCAAATAAAAAAAGAACAAATGTTATACCATCTCGGTAGGAAAGAAAGGAAAATTAAAACAGTTTTTTTCTACTGCCCGAGCCGGTCCAAAAACGTTGGTAAGTGGGAAAAAAACCTTTTCGGCAATAAAACCATCTTCGGTCCATCAATGATCTCGCCAGCAATGTATTTTGTTGTTTTTCCCCCCGATAAAAAAAAAATAATACCCAGTCACCAATAAATACCTTGAGTCATAAAAAAAAAATAAAATAAAAATGTGAACTATACAGTACCCTGCGAGCCGGGCTCCGGTCTGTAGGGGTAAACAAGCGGTGCCGCTTCAAAAACACACCCCATGTCGGGTATGTACGCGAAATACGCCCCCCCAAAAAGACAGAAATCTAGCAGGACCGGCTAAATTGCTTAAAAATAATCATCTACATCCCCGAAACTGTGTGACAGTCGGGAGAAGGAAGGACGTCAGGACCACAGAAAAAGGGCAGGACAGCGAATTCGGCAGCCCTACCCTTCCCCCACCTTCTTAAAGAGACAAGCCGTCCACTGAGCGAGCAGGCCGGGCGCGGCGTGGAGCTGAGAGCGGCTCGCCGGCTTCTTCACGGCGAGCTGGTGGAGGAGGAGGAGGAGGGGACAGTGATGCAATGTTACAGGGCCCTGCTTGTTTAAACCCGCTTTTGGGACTGAAGTCAATCAGGGAGGAAAATGCGGAGAGACATTTCGGTTTTGTACTTCTGACAGAGTTAAAAAAAAAAAAGATACCGTTGCGTAAAAGCAGGTAGCGTGTGACCGCAACCTCTCTTTAGAATTTTTTTTTTTAATTTCTTCCTAGAAAGGTAATTATTTAGCTACTGATTGTAAAATCCTCTCCTTGTTTGACCACGTCCAATGTACAGTTCTGGGAAAAAGTTCAAGTTTCAAAACACGTGATCCTTTACAGCTGCAAGGTATTAGCTAGGAAGGAATCGATTTCTACAGCCAGATGTTGAGGAAAACAGTTTAAGAAGAGGCATCAGTTACCTCCGTGTCCAGTGTGTTTGTATAGTTAATCTGTGCAGCAGCACATTTCCTCCTACATGTGTAAATTAGACAACACCTATAATGCCATCCAGTCAAGAGTAAGAGGTGTTTATAACAGTAATATTAACAACTCAAAGCAATTACCCCCTCATTCATATTAATAAAAAAAAAACACTTCACGCAAGTAACTTGCTCTGTAAAAAGTCATTTTCTCCAGCGCTGTATATATGCTTGTACATAGTGGTTTTCAATCAAACATGCATGTGACTGCATAAGCATTATTGCTATCATCAAAAACTGGGCAAGATTCCCAATAATAAAATCCTGAAGTGATGAAAATAAGCAGCTCTCCTACTCTCCTAACCGCAGCTGGGTCAATCTGAATACCGTGCTCCTGCTAAGCAAAGCAGTCATGGGCCCCAGTGTGGTTCTCTATCACACTAAATAAGAGTCACTGATTCCTCTCTGCTGGACTGAGCGGGCAGCTCTTTTCCAACAGACTAATCAGTGGTTTTAATTGCAGTCCACCAAAGACAGGTGTGTGCAAAAACTCATGATGGGACAAAGCTGACAGTGCCGTACAATGGATTTCAGTCACCACTCGAAGAGGAGCTCCACAATGATACAGTACCACCCCCTCCACCACCCCCAGTGTGCAGCCCCACCTGGATGATGCACCAGTCCTCTCCCCACACACTAATCTCAGTGGGAGGAGAGCAGAGTGATGAAGCCAGTTCAGAGATGGGGGTTATTAGGAGGCCATGACTGGTAAAGGCCAGGGGTAAATTTGGCCAGGACACCGGGATAATACCCCTACTCTTTTCGAGAAATGCCCAGGGATTTTTAATGACCTCAGGACCTCGGTTTTATGTCTCATCCGAAGAACAATACCATTTTATAGTTCAGTGTCCCCGTCACTATACTGGGGTATTTAGACCCATACAGGCTGCAGGGTGAGCACCCCCTACTGTCCCCTACTAGTTTTTCCCCAAAGGTCTCCCATCGAGGAACTGGCCAGGCTCACACCTGCTTGGCTTCAGTGGGCTGCCAGCTGTGATTGCAGGGTGATATGGCTGCTGGCTAGATTTGGGATTGAGAGACAGGAGCCACTTCTTGACAACAACAGTAACTGTATGTGTGCAAAACTACCTGCCAGAGATGTCTGGAGATGCTGCTCCTTTGGTTTCTTCAGAAAGAGAAGAGAAAATGATCTTCAGGGATCAGTAGCCTGCCTCTGATTTAGACTCTTATGTTCCCAAGTACACAGAAACCCAAGCAGCCCAACCGCTGAATATGTAAGTAAGCAAACAGCCTCTGTGTACAATGTTCTGTTCTGTCAATGTATAATTTTATGATGTATAGCTTTTATGATGCTGACTGGAACGTAACTAACAAGATCACATTGTATGTTTTACAGATCGAAATAGTCCCTTTTGCTCAGACATAAATAACAGGTCGCAAAGGAACAAGTAAGAGGTTTATTCCATGCTGAAAAAAGAAGAAAGAAAACACAACGTTTCGGCCATGGAGCCTTCTTCAGGTGTGACAGGTCTCTGTGTTCACCTCGCTAAATCTCAGCTGCACGTCCCCAGCCAGGTCTTCGAACACACTCAGGCCACCAGCACTCACTGACCGCAGACAGAAAAAAGGACTGAGGCAGCCCTCGCTTTTTACGAGCTCAGAACTGGGCAGTGTGAACAAGTTGGTTCGATTCACGAGCATATTATTCTTCCTTCTTTAGAACTGGCATCTTGGATTTTGAGTTATGATCAGAACTGCCACTGTCTTTATTTTATCTGTGGTTTTCCATTACTCCCTCTTTGTAATAATAATAATAATAATAATAATAATAATAATAATAATAATAATAATAAGCCAGACGAAACTATTTTAAGTGGAAGTATTCAGCATTATCTTTATCTTCAAGATTAAAAGACATTTTAAAAGGCTGAGAGCAGGATTTGCTCTGATAGGTGATCCAGTAATGTACACGTAGGCATGTTGACAATGGCAGGCTCACAATATACTAGTACCAACTAATCAATTAGTAATTACTGATCAGTAATCAACTTAATCAACTGTTAAGATGTATGCAAAGTTACCAAACACGATTAAACTTCAAGTGTTGAAAGGGGAACACATATAGGTGAGCACAAACCCAGAACTAGAGAAGGTTTAAGATTACAAATGCTCTGTGGCCTGATGTGGTTTTATTTTGCAAGGCACAACTGATACCGAAACAATTAAGTAAATTTAAATGCAAAAGTTCCCCAGTCAGAGACAAAGGAAGAGTTTAGAGATACAAACAGCCTTTATCATTCACTGGAGCTGCTAAAGAAAGACCCACCAAACCAGGTCCATGACTTTGGGCCTCCTAACCCCTCTTGAACAAGACCTGGCACAACCTATCCTGCTAAAATTGGATAATACAAACTAGACCCAGCCAGCTCTGCATTTCAACTCAATGATTCAAAACAAATGACCTCTGATGGCTATATCAGAATACTTTTCAACTGTGTAAATACATGCAAATACAGACAAAATGTATTAATGATCTAGAAAATATGCTCAATGATTGCAATGATTGAGTTCCTTCAAATTATGTCTAAAAGTCTATGAATATTGTGTATAACAGTGGTTGTTTTTTTAATCAATCATAATGTCAAACTGTCATTGTAAAACACACAACAAGCTGTGAAAACATTTCAAAACCAGAGGAATATCTTGGATATCCATTCTTCCAGCCTAGGACTGTTAAGGGAATTCCGCACCAAACACCTCATTAAACATTCTACAGTATACAGTTCCTGGATTCCTCATACATTAATGTTTGAGAAACCCCACCTGCCCTCAATAGGATTCATGTCAGGACTTCCTGATGGAAAACCAGTACTTTCATTTCTCCAGGGCTCTGATGCATAATTGACCTTATGTGTTGGACCACCGTCCTGTTGGACAGCCCAGATATTTTGCACAGTACTGCACTGTGCGTTACCGCATTATATATTTTTGTAGAGCTGAGAGTCAAAACATGAGCATATCGGCCCCCTCTTGCTCTGAGCCTTTTGCCCTCGTCACGAATGGCCCTTAGAGCCCACTCTCTGTCCTTACCCGAACCTGTTCTGTTTCCACACTCAGAAACACACAAACAGCAGGAAAACCACTTAATCCTACGTGAACTCGTCGATATGCCATATGAAACAGCAGTGAGGCGGACACATGGGAGAAGTGGGGCATGGGCTGGAGGTACTGTCACTGACGGGGGTTGAGATGCACGTCAGGTCACAGTGATCAATCCAGAATCGGCACTAATGGAGGCCTGCAGCTCTGGCTTTGCTTTGCTGCAGACCAGTGTGAAGGACCGGGCCATGAATCTTCCAATGTGGTCATCACGTGTTTGAACCTCTTGCCATGCATAAACCTTTAGCAAAAGTGGATGGTGCTCATACTCAATAATGCAGGCATTAGTCTGCAAGACCCTGCGCTCAGTGGCCATTGCTTTCATAGCCCACAAATTCAAACGTTTCTCTTCCTCACAAAAACAGCTCAGTTCACAAGAGCTGCAGCAGCTGGGCTATGAGCAAAATGAAATACTGTTCACTTTTTAAAGTATGCAGACCACAAAATCTGATTCCGTGCTGCATCTTGCTGTGGTTTACTGTGTTTGTTTCCCTATAAAGGAAACAAAATATATTTTTTTCAGGAGCTTCTGATATAAAGGCATTCAGCAGCATAACAAAATTAGAATTAAATAAGCACTAGTTAAACCACTGTGTATCACAGTATTCCCGTGCTGTTGTAAAGCATAGGAAAGGCCCACTGAAACCACAGGAAATGACAGTAAAACTATGGTAAAGACAAAGTACGATAACTGACCAATTATAATGGTAAATTTTTAAAAGTAAATAATCCTAAAGGGCTGGTCGGAGGTCTTTGGAAATGAAAAATGTGTTCTGACTGAGGATTGACCACTTACTCTCCCAGTCTGCAGAACAGGAATGCACTCTCCGCGCTCCGTCCTGTCCTTTCACACACCTGCTGCAAGCTGACCCTGTTTGTGCAGACAGAGGCCCACAGCTGCTGCCACCCTGGTTGATGTTCATGGTCATGCCTCGGCCTCCCCGATCAGCTCCGTGACTCCACGCGTTTCCAAAACCACTCACGTCCCCCATGTCAGGTCTGACGACACCAAGGCCACACTCTGCATTCCAGATGACCTCCAAGAAGCTATGTGACAGACCAAGTGTCTCAGAATATGAGTAGGGCCCCTAACGAAGGTCCCCTCGGCTCATATTCTGTTTCTCTATATTTCCATATGAAGTACTGGGAATAAACCTGCCAAGTGTAAGATCTCATTGTGCCCCCTGGAAAATGTTCATTTAGACTAACCAATCAACCCTGACCTGCTTGTTTTGGGGACAAAGAAACCCACTTACACACAAGCAGAGAATACAAACTCCTCACAGACAGGTGCACAGGACCCCGAGGCTGTTGTG